CAGTGTATTGAGGAGATTATGAAACTGTAAACCTATTCCTAAAAAAATCAGCTTTGAGTTTGTTTACTTCTTTTTTTAGATCACTCTGAAGTCTTGTACAGAATAAGACTAATTCTCCAAAAATGACATGAAAATCTGGCATTGTACTCTATTAAATCATTTTAGAACAAAAAAAGAGGATTGGAGACAATCTAAGACAGTGACGTTATAGATAAAATAGATCACACAGAATAAATGAAAAAAGCATTATGCTATTTCTTTTTTCCCTAAAATATAATTCAAACTTATTTAGCCAATGAAAAACAGTTTTCACGAATCGTTTAGTTGCTCTGTCTGAAGGCGTCAAGGATTTTTACTAAGTATAGCATTCATCTTAACATAAATTCGAATAAGCAAATGCAAAAAGTATTTGCAGAAATCCAAATAAGGTGAGGAAACTCCAACTTAATCCAATCCAAATCCAAATTTAATGCAGGAAAAAGTAATTGTATTTTGCACTTGTTGTTTATTTGTTTACTTGTTTCTTGTCTGTAGATTTCTACCACGCTGCAGCATCATGAAACATCTTTTAAAAGTTTATTATGTTTATTCTGACATAAAGTCTGCAGTGTAAAAAGCTCTGAAAAGTATTAGTGGTCACTCTATTGACCATAGTGGTGAACTTTTCGTTTCTTTTTTTGCGCAGTGGATGAATAGTTAATGCCTACTAGTGACATGATTTCACTAAAATTTCCACCGGAATGCATCCCACGTTATGAACTTCAGAGCGCTCTTTTAAACAGTGCGCGTGTTTGTTCCGTGTTTGCTCTGGCGTTCTGTGTTTTGGTGCAAGTAAACGGCAGTAATGTGGAATATATTAGTGCTTGTAACATTAAGCGCGCTTGTATTGGGCTGCTTAAAGAGCTGTGGGCAAAGGGAGACTGAGCACGTGTTGCTTTACTCTGTAGTAGAATTCATTTGGCTCGGGATCCTCCACACCTACATCTACCTTCATATGAGCTGCGAATACATACTGTGACTTTATTTCAAAGCTTATTCTATGATTCTCAGAGTGGTTCGGCTTGGATGGCTTTTTGGGAGCCTTTGAAGTCACAATCCCAACGCGCGAGTAGCAGTTTCAAAGAAATGATGATGTGCAGCGCTCTATTGGAACCACACAGTCAAAGACAAAAAGGAAGTGAAATAAGTAGCAATTTTGCAGGAAATTTTGTGAGTTAATTGCATAAATATTTACACAGTCAAACAGAAAGATTTCAAGGTGAAAACAAATCATGGACCACAAATCCGTGTGGACAACGAGTTCTTCAGAGTGGGAAGTCTATGCGCTGTCTTGACGCACAATAATCTTCCTTTGTAAAAAGTTAGTAAGCTACTTAGAATAATGTGTATAGACCTGCTGAAAACTGAAACAAAACAAAAACAACCCCGTAATTTCGTAATTCCACTACAGTAGTATTATAAGAAAGTGCATAAGATAATGCTACATAATACTTCTAGAACAATCTATATTTGCGCCTTCTACTATACTTGTGTAATGCAGTCTCATAGTCTATAATCGTTGTGTGTACTATAAACTGTGCAAATTCACTGTAATACTCTCTGTAATCCCTGTAGCATCACTATCTTTTTCATGAGCTAAAAACGGCACTTTTTCTGTTACTCATGGAAGCAAAACATTAATAAATGCACCAGTATGAAATGAACTCACATAGTGGAATAACTCGTGTTAAGTTGTCTATCATTCAGTTAAACTCTGGATGAGTTGGTGAACAGGTTGTGGATTATCCTAATTATTAAATAATCTGCTGAGCAAAACAAATCTCCACCCTTAGCTTGACATCCTTTGTATGTCTATGCAATCAAGCATCAGTGTGTAACAAATGAGGCGTAATCCAGCGATTTAGTCACGTCACAGAAATTTGCCCAACTTTCCAAAAAGGTTGTAAAAAACGTTTTCTTTTTTTTTTCTCTGAGCGCACGAGCACTGTTTGATGAATTTATAACGTATAATCGGCGAAATCAGAATGTGAGCAATAGCCTACGTGGGGTTTAGACTTTTTGATGTTCGTTTAAAAGAAGCTTGATTTAGAATGAAGTAAAATATTAAAATAATTCTGAACTCAAAGCTGCGCCAAAATTGTTGATTATATTTTGTACTGCGCATCTGGAAAGAGGAAAAGGTTATAGTAAACTGCACAGAATTTCGCATTTTCTCAACATTCTGGTGTTACCACGTGAGGAAAAACTGATGCAAATTCCAAAATAAAGTGACATTTTACAGGCTGCTTATTCTTCAGCACAGAACTTCTTTCAGATGGATGGGTGTCTCTAAATACTGAACTCAGCAGGTGGGTTATGTTCAGTATATCTCCTGCTTAAATTGAACGTTCTTTATGACATTTATGACACCTAATGACGTCGATATGATCATCAGTAATAAAGGATTTTTCTTTACTTAGCAACGTCAACAATTCGTGTTGATAGAAAATTCTGGCGAGCACTCTTAAGGTTCTATATAGAACCATGAGCACTCGAAGAACAATCTGAATGTATAAATAGTTTTGCATGGTCATATGGTTCTTCTCAATGAAGAAAATTCAGTTGTATAGGGTTCTTCAATGAACCCTTTCATAAATGGTTCAAAAAGGGTTCTACTATTGTTACAAGGCCCTTTTTCAGTACTATATAGAACCAATTTTGCTAAGAGTGTATAATGATGAACCCAGTCATGACAACGACGTGGTTTGATTTTGCTTTCTGGGCGTGATATGATGAGGGCCTACTTTTCCTTCACCAATGTAACAAAATAAAAAATAAATAAATACACATGTTGATTTGACTTTTTTTTGCATTTGCTCAGTCTCCTGCTGCTCGAAGAACAGGCTAAACTGAACAAACTAGCGAGGTCAAACCGGACTCACTATCTTTCTGTTTCTATCAGGACAGTCGTCTGCAGTTTTGCCACTGAACTGGCAGAAACGGGGCTTGGGCTAAATCTCCTGACACGCACACCGAGAGCATTCAGAGAGCTGGGAGCAGGGCTAGCTCTGAGCCCCGGGCTCTATCCAGGCACATTAGCATGCTTGTTGTTGTATCATCGTTTAGCACAGCAAACGACCTTTTGTCTTTAGTAGCCCACGTGTGCTATTTCGCTTCTGGAAGACCTTTGGGTTGTGGTGTGCTGCTGTAGATGCCAGGCTCCATGAGACGCGTAAAGGTGCCATGAGACTTTATCCATAATAAACAAACAAAGTAAACCACGACTTTGATTTCGTTCGGCCAAATCAGTTGCAAGTTAAACACGAAGCGGCTTTATGGTTTAGCTGCTCATTCACAAGTCACATAAAAGCCTGACTTTTTATCAGCAGTAATCCAAAAACCTAACAGGCTACTTTAAATATTGTTGGACGTCGAATGGCGAGTAGGTAAGCAGACCCACATTATCAGCGATGCTGACAAAGATTAGCCCACATTAGTGTTGCAGAGGTAGGTTTGTGGTTATTCATCTTATTTGCCTGTATAAAAGGGTCAGTAAAAAGGTACAGTACACGTAGAGTTTTACTCACCAAGGTATAAATAATGGTATTAATGGTCTTAAAGTCCAGTTGTGCACCCTAAATGATATATACATGGAACACATGAGTATTGTATATATATATTACTAATGTGTTCCATATTTTAAAAATACATACATCAACATACATACATTAACACAATAATTGCTAAATGTAAGTAAAATGAACGACAGTAATTGCGCTGTTGCGTTATATTTCATATGTAACATATTTCTTATCATGCAACCAATGTATTTGAATCAAGCAAATATATTAGTAATTTAAATACATACAAATATATATGTCTATATATATATATACATATATATATACATACATAAATACATACATACATACATACAATACCCTTGAGGGGTACCAACCATCTGACTTTAGGGGTACCATCCAAATAACATTTCAGTACCCTTTTTTTCTAAAGGAATCCAAACATGTAGCCTGAAGTTAAACATATACTATACATTGGAATGGAACTGAATGGAAAAGAAATACCACATGGAATAATATTCCTCATAATACTTTAGAAGTGCATGAGCTGGACCTGCATTATCCGCCTTTGCAACACTGCCTTACTGATTCAGTCAATCAAATACACTCGCTGTGATACATGCGATGATTTGACAATGTCACCATAAAGGCAAGGACAGGTGAGCGTTTCAGCAAAAATGAATGATTAATTAATTAACTAATTATCATGTAGGACGACAGTCGGTTGGCTCCACTCAGACCAGTTGATCGGCACGTTATCCATGGCGCTTCACATGCTCATTGATGGCCGAGTGGTTAGTGGTGACTTGAATTCCATGGTGCATGCTGAATCATGACTCAGGCCATATCTTTCGCCTTGAAGTGACGCTCGCGTGGCTAATAGCGGTTCTGTCAAAATAGCAACTGCAGACAATACCATGTGCTCCTCCTCACAAACAGGCTGCCTATTTACCTCGCGGCCTGCTGAGATTAGGTTCAGAACGAGAGAATTAAAACTCACTCAGTGCACAGAGGCGTCGTTCACTGCACGGTTTCGTGCTCGTTGTTTGCTGCTTGAAATTTCCTATAGATTCGGCGACTGTCTATGTTTTCAGGTGTTGCTTGCGTGCAGTTTCTCTGCATCAATACATGGTTTCTAATCACTGTAGAGCAGAAAAAGGGGTCAAATAACAAACAGCTTATTCCGTCTCAATTAACATTTTCACCTGAATTGCATTGCATTACAATTGCATACTTGCAGTGTGCTAAGCTATGTATACAAATAGGGCTTTTCAGAAATGCGTGTGATTATCAATGACAGGACTTTGTAGTTAATTTTGAGAAAGCGGTCTCCCCCAGAGAAGTGGAGTAGATTTTGCGGTCGGTGGGGGGCGAGAGGCAGGAGGGGTGGAGATATGGAGTACAGCACTGAGGGTGGACCAATGAGCGCTATGACGGCACAGCGCTGTCCACAGTCGCTAGCAGCTCTGGTTCCCTCCGCTTTTCGTCTTCCGTTTTCCACGACGCATCAGTTAGAGCTGACCAGTCGAGAGAGAGAGAGAGAGAGAGAGAGAGAAGGGGGAAGGCGGTGACAGAGCTTGCTCTCCTACAGGAGGAATACTACAATGGTATGCGAGAGCACTAGGCTAGGTCCACCGAAACACGGTGCTGCCGTTCTGCACGCGAGCGGCTCGTCCTGAGCGCCTGCTGGTCACGCAAAGCTCGGCGAATTCGTCGAAGAACTCCCCCGGTGGACATGAACAGACCGCATGGGTTCGCAGGGTAGCATTCGGTGAGCTGCGCGGTTGGAATATATGTGGCGTTAAAAAAAGGGAGGCTTGCTGTCCAGCAACGTATTTTGGGAGAAGATTAGGTTATTGAGCAGCGCTTGGTCGCGACGTTGCACGCCTCGCATCAGCGTATAAGGTAATACCATCTCCACTGCTGACCATTACTTTGGCTTTTTCACTGTTATTAGCACCCTCGAGTCATTGTTATCTCGAGCCCAGTCCTGATACAGGGCCTCAGGAGGAATAACCTCTTCTTGTCGTGTCCACACTGCAGATGTATCTCCAAGACATGTTTACGTGCTGGTGTACTCTAAAAGCAAAAGCGTCCTGTTTATTTCGTGTTGTCCTTGTTCGAGCGAGAGCACCATTAATCAAGGGCTCCTCGACGTAGAGTTTGCCTGCAGCCCTAAGAAAGTAGAAAGTTTGGCATGACATGATTGAATTATTCTGGCTCTTTTTACCACTTAAAAAATCTTAGTCTGAGTTCATAAATGCAAGGAGGGTGGTGATTTCAATTCATTTGCCAATAATAATAATAATAATAATAATAATAATAATTTGTTTGTAAAGCTAATCAGCCTTTGTAAACTAACTATACGTTCCCTAGTCATTACAGAATAATACTGTTTGGAAAGAGTGAGAAAATAGTGACCGATTAAAATGACACGTAAAAGATTATGACTATTTAAAAGAAAAATAATCTATGGCCTTCGTTGTCGATCCAAGTTAGCTATGTTTAAGTGGACCTACTACAATTTTATGATATATACAATGAAATAATTGTAAGCCAGGTAATAGATTAATATATGTAAAAGATAATGATGATTTTAAAAAAATGGTCTGGCCTTCGTTATTGGGCCATGTTGGCTCTGGAAAGCGAATATTTAGTGCACCTTTCAGGCCTTTTCTTTACTGCTCGTTTTGCAGAAGTGTATGGCATCCTGGGAAATGAATTAGGCTGTAGGCTGAATTCTTTGTTTAGTTATTGGTCAGCTTTGTGTGTATATCCCTGCAAATGTCTCGCGATTTGATCAGATAATTCTGTCATCTAGGCCTCACGGTAGAAGCAGCAACGGGCCTTCTGACATGGCGGACAACGAAGAAGGCTTCGGGCTTCAAAACTCTCCGAACGACACCCAATCTAAGGATTTACACGAGAGTAAATCTGAGAAACAGAATGGGAGCTCCAGCAAATCTCCATCATCCCAGACAACTTACATTCAACAGGTGAGTGCTGTGCATGTGCTGCTGTGTGTCTGCTAATTATAAACACGTACAAATAAATAAGTCCAGCAAATACTGTGTTTAACTGTCTCCGCTATTTTGTAACCAGTTGCACAAACTACAGCTTAAATCACGCCAACAGAGGATCCAAATCATAAGATGCAACAACCGATTAGAATCAAACGGATTATATCAGATTAGTCAAATATGACATTTAACTCGCAACAAATATTTCAAAATCGTGCGGGCAAATGATATAAGACGTTTTATAAAAATGTATATTACTAGTTATTCATAATTAGATACCAGTACTTCTAGTGTTTTGTCTATTTGTAATGATTTCAGAGCATTTAAAGTGAGTTCGTGTTAAATTTATATCAACTTATTATTTAATTTTTCATTTCCAGATGTTATTTTCTCTAAAGCTGCTCCATATTCTCAGCTGTCTATCTGAAAGTCAGTCAAAAAATCCTAATGAGATTAATAGAAGCTAATATTCTTATATTTTTACAGTAAAAAATATGTACGGTGTATAAGAAAAATATAATAGTAACACTTTACACTTTTCTACTACATCTTGTTCTTGTTGTGCTCTAAATGCTGTATTCAATGGCTCCAGCAGATGACAGTGTCATATTATGCTCATGCTCCATCTTGAAATGTTTCCCCTTTCCAGGGAATGGAGGGAATCAAGGTTTACTTACATGAACGAGAGTTGTGGATGAAATTCCATGAAGTTGGGACCGAAATGATCATCACCAAAGCAGGGAGGTAGGTGGCTCATGTTTAAGCCTGCACGAAATGAATAAATTCGCCAACTGCTGCTGTTTGTGTCATTTAATAACCACACGGGCTTCTCTGAGATATATATGGAGCTACTTCTACTGAAACACCAAAAACCTGAGCCTGTTTAGCTTCCAGTTTTTAACGCCCGCGCTGTGAAGAAATCCCTCCAGAATCAAACCTGGATTACAGTTACAAGAAATGCCCAAGCTGGGCCTAGCCTATTATTGCACGCGCTTATCTTCGTTTATTTAACCCCAAGGCTCATTTCTCCCCTCGTGTGCAAGTACGATATGTTTTGTAGAGCGAAGAGATTATGGGATTATCTTAGTCACCGTATGAAGCGTTGGAAGCGCACCTTTCCTTTCCTGCGTTTTCCGTTTTTTTTATCAAATGTTGGCCTTTTCAGTCTTTCCAAATATTGGTATAAAGTCGTGTAGCCTGTAGGCGTGTTGTGCTCTGTAGTTTGGACAATGATGTGAGTTTTTTACCGAGTTGCCAATAATTTCTGTTTTTTGTTTGTTTGTTTGTTTGTTTTTGTTTTTATCGCTTACAATAAGACATTAAACAAGGATCATTAAAATTTTCTGCGATCGTGCAAAACCTAAAATTTAAAACTGAGGAATAAACGTGTTGAAATGTAGAACTGCAGTCTGAGGTCATTACTTGTTTTGCTACGTCATTGTCCATGCCTGAGTGGCGATCTATTACGCCAAATAAAAGGAAATTCCCTACAAACAAGAACTTCAGGAGTGGACTGTGCCAGCCTCGAGTCGAAGGCCTCAGGATGTCGATGGGACATGTGCATGTTAACAAATTGTCCTGTGGGTCTTAGGCATTTATTATTTATGACGACCACGTTGCAGTAAGCTTGCACTGAGAGCTGCTTGTTTATTTATTTATTTATTTACTTCAACTTAGCTGCATAATGCTGCTTTTATAAACCAGCTCATTTCCTCTCCGTTCTAGCTGTAGCATATTAGCCGTCCTTCCCTGCTTCATCCACGCAGCTCCCGAAGGTCTGGTGTTATAACAACCTTTGCCTGGCTCCAATCGGCCTGACACAGGCACCCCCTCTACCCCCCATCACCGTAATGACCAGACCCAAATGTGCTGTATGGGCTTTTGTGCATGCACGTCCACATGCGAGTGAGTGGATCAACATGCATCATGGAAAAGAACAAATTCTGAAAGCCACGTGTTGCAAATTTGCTAAAGTTCTGGATTCAGATTCGTAGAGTTCTAAGAGGGTTTATGCCTTTATGCACCACCACTGCAACATCGTCGACCAATTAAGCGCATTCTTTCACAGCAAATGAATATTTCCATCTTTTCTACTTTTAACCAGTCTAATTTTCAGAACGAGCCATAAAAAAGTAGAGTGGAGTGAGGTTATATGGGGCACCAGGTTATATGAAACAACTAGTTTTTCCCTAATTATTTTTCCTATGAATTCCTTCTGAATTAAATAATGTACTAAATACTTGCTGCAGCAAATTGGCTAATAAAAATTGTAAAAATGTGGGAGAGTGAACAGACCTATCACCCATATTCCCATATAAAACACTGTCCCAAATTAGCATACAGCCTGTCTCTGACACTGTCCCAGTGTTACCTGATGTCTGATCATGTTTAAATCCACCCTGATAAAAAGGAGAGAGGCTAAAGCAATGTTGCTGTGTCGTTTCCTAAAGGCAAACTGAAATCGTTTAGCTAACGTGTTAGCATGCCAGAATAATTCTTAGGTTCAGAGCTCCCATCTGGAGGGCAAATTCAATGAACGTGCAAAACCTGCACTGTCTTACCGCCGATGTCATTGAGAATAACAGCAAGCAAACACAGAGTCTGGAAGCCGGACAGGGACGGAGGGGAATCCCACTTTGTCCTTCATCACTGCAGGCAATGTCGTATTTCCAGCGTTACAATGTTCCCATTTTTCGTCCGCAGGCGAATGTTCCCCAGCTTCAAAGTGAAGGTCACTGGACTGAACCCCAAAACGAAATACATTCTGCTGATGGATGTCGTGCCAGCGGACGACCACCGCTATAAATTCGCCGATAATAAATGGTTCGTAACAATAACTACCTTTGTTATACCTTTGAAAGTTATTTATGTACGTTAAGATGAACTTTCTCTAGCCTATAGCAGAACTGCACGGTCAACAGAAGTGTTTTTATCCTTTAGAGCTAGGCTGAAGGGAAGAATATTTTAGGAAGACTCAGGAAGCAGGAACCACATTCAGAAAAAAGAGAGAAAGTTTCAGGCTTTCCAGTGTAGTCTGGAGTTCTGCTTAGCTGGGGGGGGAATGGGCGCAGTTCTTGTGCATGTTAGTAACACAACACATGAAATGTCCAGGTCACTTCTTACTGCCTCACATTTTACACTATAAGATATGAGCCTGCACCAAACTTCTGTCCCAAATGAACGCTTTGCCTCAGAGTACATGCGCACTGTTTGCAGTGAAAAATATTCAAATCTGTCGGTTCACACAAGTGCAGTCTTTCAGTTTATTTCTTTTAATCCACGTGCAGTCTTCTGACACATTTCAATTGGGAAAATAATTTTCATAAAATCGAGCAGAATAACTGAAAATAAATAAATAAATAAAAGACTCATTAACAAACAAATGATCAATTCTTAATACAGTTACTACACTGTAAAAATGGCTCATCGACCTAAAAAAATACTTAATGTGGTAACAAGTAAATTAACTGGTTATTCAACCTAAATGAATACTTTGAATAAACAATTCTTTGGATCGGTGTAATTTTTCGAGTTGAATAAAACTAGTTCAAGTGTTTGTTACTATATGAAGTATTTCTTTAGGTAGATCTGACGAGCCATTTTTTACAGTGTTTTACATTCTCAAGAAAAAAGTTAGTGAACTATATTTTATTTAGGTACAAACGCTAAAACTGGGTGGTTCCCCTCAAGTGTGCGTCTTCAGTACTTTTAGGTAGTGAAATTTGTGTACAATATTTATTATTATTATTATTATTATTATTATTATTACGATTAATATTCATGTATTTATTGATTTTAGGTTTTGAATCCTGTCTTGACTAAAGCTTTTCATTCTATATTTTAAAAAGTTATGAAAACTTACAAATATGCAGCTTATAAATAAACTCTCAGAAAAAAAGGTACTAAATGCTCACTTGGGTGGTCCTAAGTAGTCTTTAGTATCTTTAGCCAGGGAACATAATTGTACCATAATCCATTTTTAAGTTGCACTGACACCGTATACACTGTCTTGATTACAGACTTTAATTTTATTTTTCTATTTAAAATGTTTAGCTTCTTATTATGGTACAAATATGGTCCTGAGAAAGCACCTTTATGATTTACTTACGGACTTATTGTTGGAGCTTAAGCCCCTTGTTGTACATTTAAGGGGAACATTTACATTTTAAATATCTTGAACTAAAGTGTATGCAAAACGAATGCATTAAAACCCTTTTAAGGTGCCATGACTGGACATTAATGACCATGTTGTACCTTTGAGGGTACATTTACATTGCTTGCACATTCTGCGACCAAATGTACCTATTCAGTAGCCTTTTTCTGACAGTGTGGCAAGAAACTTTGCCTAAAGCCGTTTGTTTCGAGGTGTAACATTACTCATTTTTTGATGTCAGTCTGACACACCATGTGTGTGTGTATGTGTGTGTGGTGAGCGTAACAGGGTGTCTTGCCAAAACCTTGCTCCCTGCTAAATAAGCGGAATGTCTTAAATATTTCTCGGACGAAACAAGTCGAAGGATTAAGAAAGGGAGCCTTTAAACACTTTGTCTGCACCTCTCTCTCTCTCCCTCTCTCTCTTCTCTCTCTCTCTCTCTCTCTCTCTCTCTCTCTCTCTTTCTGCAAGCACATGGAAATGGCGATCTTTCAGGGTTAGATCTCTGCTTCTGCAGCTTGTCTGAGTCACCTCTTTTCTGGGTCAGCGCTTTCCAATAGACGCTCGTTCGGCAAGGATGCCCACATGCCAATATCACTGATAATTATCTGTTCGGTGCACACACCGAAACGAATCACTCTCTTGACCAGCTACTGTTTTATTCAGTTTTTTTTTTCATCTCTTTCCCAAATCAGTCGAGCCTTGCTGGTGGAGAATCCGTATTCGTGTCAGTATGCCACTACGCAGGCTATTGAGCCGTACACAACGCGCAGCGCAAATTAGATCACAGCCTGTTGCAGTGAACCGGACGCGCGTATGGATCACACTAGAAGTAAACGCTGCTTTGCGTTTCCGTGATTCAAACGCGCCAGTCCGGTGGCACGTTATTGCCAAAATAATTAAACGTTTATGTCATATTTTATTCACGTTTGAAGCATGTGCATTCAACGCAGTGTGTAAAAGGCGCAGACACTGTTATACTGTCATTGTTATCAAAATGTAAACGATATAGAGCGAAATTCATGCGTAATCAGCTCTCTGCGAGATTAGAGGCGTTCTATACATATCAGACAAGCTCAGAGAAGACATAGGAAGTGAAAAAGGAACTGGGTGATGGATTAAAAACGCAGCTCTTTTCGCTCTGTGGCGCAGGTCAGTGACAGGGAAAGCAGAGCCAGCAATGCCTGGCAGGCTCTACGTGCACCCGGACTCTCCAGCTACCGGAGCGCACTGGATGCGCCAGCTTGTCTCCTTCCAGAAACTGAAACTGACCAACAATCACCTCGACCCATTCGGACATGTAAGTACGCGTTACCGCTTGCCAATCTTTTATATATATATATATATATTTAATATCAAAACTTGATATTATATAACCAAAACTTTTTTATTTTAAGTGTGCTGGTGATGGAATTTAATAAATCTGCGTGATGGCTGGGTGCAAAAAAATTCTGAAACTTTTTTTCTCACAAGATACTAACTACTTTACTGAAAAAAACAATTGTATTTATGTTTATGTGCATTTAATTTAATGATATAGTGTGTTTTTTATAAGCAAATTTAAAATGATTTCTTAGCAGTCGAAAAATTGTAAAAGTCATTTCTCAGCAGTAAATGTGCTTTTGCTAGTAAACAAAAACGTATGGCCAGAGCCATCGCATAGATTTATTAAATTCCACCATCACCAGCACACCTGATACAACAGGTATTGAATGAAAGTGGTTAAAGGAGCACACTGACATACATAAAATCACTACTTATTGTATTAATGTTATCTGTATTTACTCTAATATCACTGTTTTTATGAGTACAATCGTGCAAAAGTTTTGGCAGCTCCGTTCAAATTGCATGTATATTACAATTACACACACACACACACACACACACACACATATATATATATATATATATATATATATATATATATATATATATACTTATATATATATATATATATATATATATGGCTGTCTGTCAGTATTCTTCTGTTGACAAAAAGGCAACTCATAATTTCTGATCCTTATTTTCACTTAGATAATCAACAAAACGTGTTTTTTTTGGTTTTTTTTTTGCGCAAAATACATGCGGAAGAGAAGGAGAGAGAGAACGCCCCTCTACAGGCGCTGCTGACAAATGCCAGTGCTCGTGCATTAATAAAAAAGCCGTCTTAAATGCAGTAATGTTAATTGTGAAAACCAAAAAGGCAGCTATGATAGTTAAATAAGCCTCTGATGTGGAAGGCGTTCTTTTTAATGTACTCTAAAAACTGGATTAAAAATGTAGTCACTGTAAATTGGTGGGAGAATTGCCTATTCTAGAAGTTGCAGTGCCATAGAAGTGATCCATTTGTGCTGGATCTGAAATGAAATGCCTCTATTCTGTTTAAGCAGGAACCTGCGCCTTTAAAGGGCCCATGTCCTACATTTTTGCTTCTATTTTATTTATTGCCCTAAGGTCCACCTATGACATCTGTGAGGTTTCATTTACCAAAAACAGTCCTGATTCGTTTTTTCATGTCCATTTCCAACCTCTCTTTATCCCTTACAACCAAACAAGCTCTTCTTGTTACTGCGCCTTTAAGATTGATATATGTAAATGAGCTCTGTCCTAACTGGCTGCCCTGTATGCCTTGGTTTTCTTGACAGTGAATTCAAAACAATCCAGTTTAGATTCCATATTTGAACTGTATGGAACTCTAACAGTGTTTACTTACTACATCCAATCATTTTATTCAAAACAAAAATGAGAAAACTTCAGTTTTCCATGATATATAAAGATGAGTGGGTGAAATTAACCAGATCTTCATGTTTACATAGTGTGCATGCACTGAAATAAGTAACGCATTGATTCACATGTCTACATCCTTTCCACATGAATAAAATATGACACCAACACAATTATTGGCAAAAGTAAGTAAACTAAAAGACAAGACTGTGTTGACATAATATATTTAATTCATGTGGAAATAATGCACACAAGCCAATGCAATGCATCAATGTCTTTATGCTGCAATTAGTTCCTAACAAAGAACTTACTGCACAATCTATTACAATACCATGATGCACAGCATCACATTTTTAGCTCTCCATATTAATTTTGGGCAGCTCAGAACCTTTCACAAAGGCCTGGCGCTTCATTTACTTGCCTAAACTTCAGATGCTAGAGACCACAGACAGATTAAGGACCGTTGCATGGCATTATCCTGTCAAAGGTAATTCTCCACTGAAAATCTGTTCAAATCTAGAACCAGGCTTAATCAGCCTCGAAACGTCCGTATGCTGCCTGCTTGAACGATTCGGATCTGTGTTGTTTGACTTTTTAATGCTGTTCCAAGAGCAGAGATGCAGCATACCGTCCTATGTCACTATTTAGTGCTGATCACAAGTTTCCGCTGGCTTGCATTTAAAGTTGATCATGCTTGTTGTCCTGCCAAACCCCAGCTGGTAGAGTGAAACTGGAGCCCAGTTGGAATGTGAGCAGTGTTGTAAATTTCTGGCCAGAATGCATTTTTGATTGGTTGCAGTGGTTCTTGGCATGCCACCCCCCCTCCTCTTTTTTTGTGCTGAAAGAGCACCCTGGGATTTATAAATGAAGTATGGCTTCTCTACCAAAATAACAATCCATCGACTTGTTGTTCCAGGTGGTTGAAATAATTTCAGACCTATTTATAATTACTAACCTCCGAGATGGGAGCTGAACATGCAATGCTGTAGGCTGGATCCAGTTAGGGAATACATAAAAACGGGGCCAGTGTTTTTGAGATCCATCCTAATTAGGCTCACATCATGAGACGAAGATTTCTGAAGGGAAAACTACAAAAAAAGCTGCATTGGTGAAGGACCGTAGTTATAACCAGGACAGATCATAAGAACCTCAGTTCCTCTGAGCTTTTGGACTTCTTGTTTTTCTCATCTAACTCACCCAAAGCTTTGATCATTTTAGTACAATTCATCATCCCCTCAATAGGCTTACACATTCTCTCCCCCCCTTCACAGCCATCTAGAAATATTTGAGTCAAAATGGCGGAGTTTGGATAACTGTGCTTCAAACTGTTTATGTTTTAATGACAGTGCGAGATGAGTGATGGACAAAGGTATACAAAGACTGTTAATCTGGAGGGTTTCAGAAACCTTGTGATGTCAGGGACATGAAAGAGAGGGCCAAGCGTTCAGGACCCTCTGTGATCCCTCGCTATCATTAAAAACTATCATACAGAGCTGGGGGCGAACGGAGATACAGAGCAACAGGGGCACCAAACTCAGAAAAATGCTGCACTCCTAGTGGGTGGTCCTGCCACAAGCATGCTAGAAAAACTGTCCTCTGCCTGATATCAACACAGATTTCCAAATACTGGTGGACTTCTGTGGTAGAGTTTTGTAAATTGTACATGCAGCAATTATTTTGTACCATTTATGTTACGTTGTTATGTTGGTAACTTTCTGCTGTACCATAGAAGAAGTTGGGATAATATATCTGAACAATCTAACAGTGCTTTTTCTATAAGGTTTAACGGTGGTGGGAGTGGTTGTTTGGTGCTGAGCACAGTGTTTAAAGTTTACAGTAGACAGGGGAAAGCTATGTGACTAGTTAGTGCTTTCAAATTCTCAGTTAGCGTGGTCAGCCAAGACCACCGCAATGGGAAACGATGGATGGCACTGACCAGAAGGGACATGTCTCCAGTGTAGTTAGCATTTAGAATGCCAGAAGAGTTTATATGATTTCTTGAGTGATGTTCAGCAAATCACAGAGTAAAATTTAATAATATTAATGGGGACAGATCAGATGTCTCATTTTACTAAAAGGTAATTTTTGTAAAATAATGAAATAATTATGCACTTCTGGAAAATTAATGTGATAAGAACTAGAAGAGCCAAACTACTACAAGAACAACAACAACAATAACAATAACATGCTATAGATGTAATTCAGAAGAAAACTCTCAATTTAACATTTAACACTGTTGTCTAGTAGTACAGTGCATAACAATGTGCAATGTGCAATCATTAACTCATTAATGTCCATATCTAAACATTTTGTATATTTAATTTCCTCTGGTCCATATGCACTGTGAAAAGTAAAAGTAAGGTCAGCTTACAAAACTTTTATTATTTTAAGTTAGTCCGACTTTTATTTTATAGGCTCGCTGAGCTTGCATGAGCATTTTTCCAACTGATAAACTATATGGCTAAAAAGTTTTTTTTACAAAATAAAATTATAAAGTAATTTATAACACCACAACAGAAACTGATCATTTATTATGAAAACTATGAAGAAAAGTATGAAAATAACTCCAGTACTCTTAGATGTTTATACAAGACACAACTATACAAAATGTCATCACTTTCGACCAATCAGAACAAATTCTGTGGTTTTCCTAATCACACTACATTCAGTTTTTGGCCATGAACGGCAACAGAGCAAACCTTTTGCAAACTGAGTGTAGGGGTTCCTTACGGGAAGGTGGGCGTTCTGCTATCGCTACGTTAAAGCGGACATTAAAAGCCATTAGATCCCTCACGGCCGATGCCCACGACTCCCGAGCGTGTCAGTACAATTAGGCTTAGGCCTGCGGATAACAGGGGCCTTTAGAGTAGAGGTGCAGGGCTCAAGTTCAACTGAGCGAACAGCGTCTCCGTGTCGCCGCGCCAGCGCGGGTCAGAGGAGGTCAGGAGGAAAGCACAAGCAGGGAGAAGGTGTCCGAACATCGCAGCGGGGAATAGAAAAAACATCATACAGCCACGTAGAGCGGCGCAGGATCTGTTTGCATTGCCCCTTTGCATCCCAGAGCAACGATTCGCAAGGACAAAGTAATTTATTATTTATTTATTCACTTGGAAATATGACAGGCTTTTCTCGAATCTCATAGGTCCGCATAGCCTGTTCCACAATGTAATAGAATACAATGAGAAGCATAGAGGAATTGTGTACTTTAAATAAGTTTTATTGTTTATACTTTTTTTAAAACAGTACAATAAATGAAGCCTGAGGCGAGACAGGATGTGTGGAGTCAATACAATTTAGAAATACATAACTTTAATGGAATACGGTACAATTGTGTTCCCTAACTAAAGGTACTGAAGGAAACCACGCCAGTGACAAGAAGGTTCCCACCCCAGTGATAGTTTGGTACCTTTTTTCTGAGAGTGAGTTAGAGTTACTCATGATCACTACAGTTTATTAACAGTAAGCAGTTTGAACAAGTTTTACGTAGCAAATAAATAGGAAGTGAAAGAACCTTATTGAAACTATACAGAACCCTTTTTGCTAGCAGTGTATGTAGGTAATGTGGTCTCTGTATAACTTCTGAGTCTATACTGTGAGCATTCTCCGCCACAAAGCAAGACCTCTCCGTTTATTCTGATAATTTCAGTATATGTATTAATGTCCCATCACTGGCTATTAACAAACAATGCCATTCGTGCCTAACTATAGTTTATTAATGATAAGCAGATTACAGGAAGTGAGTCTTTTTAAAAGTACTTTTTTCATCCAAAATACTTTTCTCAAGACATGTAGGTTCAAGAAGTTTGCTACACAACGTAATAAAAACCGTGCACAGAAAAAAGTGCTTTAGATTCATACTATTCAAATGTTAATGGGCTGCAGATGAATAAAATGTGCCTCACCAACACAGGAATAAACCGACTGTTTGACACATTTCAGTGGTACAAATTTATACATAGACGATCTACCAGTATAGCAGTTCTACAACAGTTCTATAACAGTTCTATATAACAGTCATAACGGTAACAGTAACACGTGCACGCTGCGGATGTTTGTTGGTAAAGAATGTAGTGTGGAAAAGAATGTACAGTGACTTTTTTCGAGTTAACGTGTTTGTGGTCCTTTTTTCTCCCTTTAGATTATTTTGAACTCTATGCATAAATACCAGCCGAGGATCCACATCGTGAAGGCGGATGAAAATAATGGCTTCGGCTCCAAAAACACGGCGTTCTGCACCCACGTGTTCCCCGAAACGGCCTTTATAGCGGTCACTTCTTACCAGAACCATAAGGTAAGAGCAGCGCTTGATGTATACACATCTAGTTTATGTACATAGCAATTATTATTATTATTATTATTATTATTATTATTATTATGCTTTATTTTTTAGTTTTCTCATAGATCAGTGAGCATGCGCGTGCGTAATTAACACTCTAAAATAAAAGTCCGTAGCCACATTTGAAGACTGGACAGTTTGCCAAATAAATAAACTGCACGGTTTACAGGCGACTGGGTGGACCGCTGGTCAGCCAGGTCACTGCATAATCAGTCGCAGGCGACCAAGAGTGCAAACCAGTGACAGGTTGATAAATCCTACACACTTAACAATGTTGGTTCTTCACGGGTTCTTTACTAAAGAAAATGGCTCTATACAGAACCATAAAAAAATCCAAGAACGCTTTGCCTGATTAAAGGGTTCTTTGCATCATGAAAGGGTTCTTCAGACTGATGGAGAATGTTGAATATGGTTCTATATAGCAACAAAAAAGTGTTTTTTCTTTTATTACTACTATTATTTCTATGTTTAAGCTTGGCCTCGTAACAGCAGAAGAACCCTTTTGGTGCTACATAGAACCTTTTTCACAAAGATTCTATATAGAACCATATTCTTCATCAATCTGAAGAACCCCTTCACGATTTAAAGGAATCTTTTCTTTGGGTGTTCATGGTTCGATTTAGAAGCATTTTCTTTATTAAAGAACCCTTGAAGAACCATAATTTTTAAGTGTGTAGTAGGTAAACAATCATCAACCATATAGACTATTCATTTAAGAAACAGATCAGAATAGATGTGAACATGCTTATAAAAACTGGCAATGAAAAGTTTTAGAAAGCTCTGATTTTTTAAATTAATTTATTCATGTATTTGTTTGTTTTTAATGTTCTTGGTGTTGTTTTGGTATATTTCGCAGTAATGTGGGTAAATAAACTGGGTACATTTCACGACTGGCTTTATTAAAGCTTTCAGACGAATGCATTAAGCGCAGCCTACTTAGTCTAAGTCACTAAAGTGCTTAAGGCTGCTTGTGATTAAGGGAGTAAAAAGCTCGTTAATTCTTTGGCGATGTGGCTTCATTAGCACACCCTGATAGGCGAGCGCTGATTTGTGGATTTGTGGTCTGAACTAAAGTTGATCTTCGTTCAAACGGTTCAAAGAAAAATACAAAGGCAGAAGTTGCCCTCTCTCTCTCTCTCTCTCTCTCTCTTCTCTCTCTCTCTCTCTCTCTGATTCGCTGAAGTTTATTCAGTGGTCAAGCAGATGTTTGTGGACACTCTGGAGTAGAAGTGGTGATTTCCATTATGAAATGATAACAGTGGAGCCAGTCAACTTTCCCTTTAAAAGGGGGGCGTCTTAGTGGTCGGAACCCTCTCAAAAAATAATTCCTCTCGCTGTTTGTTGTTTTGTTTTATACTGTTTAACTGCCCATTTATGAGTGAATCAGACCGTTAGTGGACAATCAGCCCTGTGCACGCCCCAGACAAGTGTGTACAGCCTACACCCTAAATAGTTCTTTAAGGGTTCTTTAGTAAATGAATTGGCTATATGTAGAACTGTGAACACTCAAACCAAAAACTGAATGCATAAATGGTTCTTGTCCTTCTTAAAATGGTTTTATGTAGCATAGAACAAGGAAGTCATAGAAACTTCGTTGGAATTCTTTAGAACCCGTTTCGCTAAGAGTGTAAGTAGAGGTAATGTGGTCTCAGTTGACTGCTAAAAGGTGAATAACTTGAATAAAGTTTAGGCGTTGAGCACTCTCAGCAATGGACCACAATGCGAGATTTATTCTAGTAAATTCAATAACGCGCATTCTTTTATTAATGTTCCATCATTGGCTGTTAACAAACAGTTGTTTGAAGACAAAATCTTTGGCATGCGCCACATGTGTACACTTAATACAGCTTTTAGCTCCATGACTGCCACCACACGAAGCTTCCCGCAATCTAGTGGGAAACGTTTTACCATTTAAAAGGCATATTTAAAAGCATTTCTACTTCTCGCGCAAAGAGAAGGGGGCTTTGCAGCAGGTGGTTTCATCCGGGAACTGTGGCTTCTTGTGCGACTATAGTGGACAGGTCCGTTGCATAAGAGTAAAATGTAAAAATGTTAAAATGTAAAGGAATACGCAGGTAAGAATTTAAGCGTTTAATGTTTTTTTTAATAACTTATGTATTTATTTGTTTTCATCTCGCTCATGAAGTATTGTGTACATTACGTTCACCAAGCGACTAGTACGTACGTCTGGAATTAAAGAATATCTCAATAGCTACTTTCTCTTTTACAGTGAAATAAATGAATGAATGAATGAATTAATTAATTGATCGATTAATTAATTAATTAGTTAATTAGACAGTGTACTGTATAAGCTTTTATGTGGTCTTAGTGGTCTCAAGAAAGCCATTCGGGTTGTCGTAAAACAAGAAAGTATAGTCGTCAGTTTATGCCAGCTAACTCACTCGCTGCAGTGATTAGATTTTCCGATGTGTAACAGACAAGGCAGCAGTGAATAGTCATTACTGTTGCTCCAGGACGCTTTAAAGAAACAGCTAATGACTTCTGCTGATCTCTAATGAGAGCCGCTCGAGGCAGACCCGAGCAGCCATCGTTCAGAAACGCTCGCAGATGGATGTTCAGACTTCCTGTGGTGGGCATTTGGAGAAACATTCCTGCCGTGTCTGTTTCACATCCTCGCAGTGAGCGCGAGGCCGGGGCAGGTGCGGCGGCTGGTTCTAGTGTTGGACTGCTGGACTGAGCGGTGGGAGGCAGCTGCTCGTAACGCGCCAGCAGCCAATCACAACTCACTGCGCTCAGCGCAGGAAAACCCACTAACACTCATTATATTCAGCGACTTAACTGACGGGTTCCAGCAGCTAAATTCCCTTCCTGCCTTTATTCCAGACTAGCTTTGGAAACTCGGAAAGGCGTTTCGTAACGACAGCTATAAAATATTCCCTAAATCCTGAGTTTGTTGGCCTGTTAGTTTATTTAGCTTGCTTGCGTGCCTATTTATTTGTTTATTTATTTATTTATTTAGACAGCTTGTTTTCTATGTATTTATTTTTTCCAGCTACTTTCTTTATTTGCGGACTTGCTGCTTGCCTATTTATTTATTCATTCATTGATTTAGCAAGTTTGTTTACTTGCTTATTTAATTATTTTGCCAGCGTGTTTTCTGTATTTATTTTTCCAGCTACCTTATTTATTTATTGACTTGTTGCTTGTTTTATAGATTTATTCGTTTATTTAATAATTTAGTCAGTCGGCGTATCTATTTTATTTATTTTTTGTGTATTTATTTATTTATTTATTTATTTATTCAGCCAGCTACCTTACTTATTTGTTGACTTAAGCGTTCGCGCCAACATACGTGACTCTACAACTGTACTTTAGGTTTATTCAGCCATTCTTTTACATCGAAGATGTGACAATGTTACCAATTTTTCTAATGAATCGTTTTCTAATCGACACAAATTGCCTGAAAGGTTTACGAAACTTATGCAAAATCATTACCAGATATTCAGCTCGAGTTTAATATCAGTAGTTACGAAAATGACTGATTAGTAACTCAAACATCATTGCAGACTAAAAGAAAACTCATGAATACAGTTTATCATATAACAGTTTAAACATAGTTTGATTTGAACAGACATCAATACGAAATAAGTTTGTTTCAGTTGTCCCGTACAGCGACGTTATATTTTCTCAGATTTTTTTTCTGTGTATAACACATTTTACTTATTCTCAAGGCTTCTTTTCATTCAGTTCTATTTTAGTCATTCATATTCACTTCCTAGTTCCTCTTTCATTGTTGCTGCTGTTGCTTTATCGTTTCATTTTAAACTGAATGATCAGAAAAAGAGAAAATCGCTTAACCCCCTTCAGTCACTATGTTAATAGATGCTGGGTGAGGTTCCACTGCAGCTCTGTGGGACTTTGTTAATCAAACCGGTTTTGTTAGCTACTTATTTCTACGCAAGTTATTATTTCATTAAAGTAACAAGACACCTATTTGAGAATGGGCAGCTACCTGCATGTGGCACCCTAATCTTAGACTGTCGACGCTCTGATTCAGTTTTTAACTAAGTTTCAGCGCAGTGTGCTCAGAAATAAACCCTGTGTTTATTGGCATTATAAGCGTAGCCTACACAAAATGACCATATTTGAAAGACGCTGTCCGCGTGCCAAGTGCTCAGCGCGTTTACGAGAGCTTAAAAGCGCGTCCCAACATGGAGATCTTTTACAAGGTCTGAAGTGAGCGCCAGAGCGCAGTCAAAGTTCACACACCACACCCGCCACCAAACACCCTGCCAAGCAAAGCCTGCTCTGCTCGGGAAAGATGTTCTTCTGGTCCTCCTGATCTCGTTTCAAAGGGAGCAGAACCTTTAAAAAATCCTCTCTATTTCTAAACCGTGTCTGATTGTAGCGCAGCACACATTCATAAATAAATAAATAAATAAATAAGAAGTTTATAGTATTATATATGTGTAACAATAATTATATTAATATATACAATACAATTCTAAGAGTATAGAAGTATAGAATCGCTTGCTTACAATTATATCGCTTATATCGCTTGTGTGTATACATCTTGTGTGTGTGTATATATATATATATATATATATATATATATATATATATATATATATATATACACACACACATATAAGTCTTTAGACTTTTACATTTGATTAGACAGAAATTGCATCAGAAATTACAGAAATTAGACGCAAAGATAAATAGACGGTAAGCATTATTTGCTTCAAAAAACGCGTTAGAATAAATACAAGTAAAGTTAACACTGCATGTAGTGAAAATGTCAATATGTTGGTTTAACACATTCAAACTTCTCCTCGTGGAAGCCCAGTGTTATCTGTAGTTATTATCCAATACTTGGTAATCAGTGCTTCATTATACTGAATCAGGTGTTTAATAAGGTGTGTAATAAATCTACGTGATGGCGGGGGGCATCGAGGAGAAATCCAGAACCTAGAGAAATCTATACTAATGATATATATATTGTTTTTTTTTTCTGACACTTGTTTGCCAAGATATATATATATATATATATATATATATATATATATATATATATATATATATAAGAACACTAATGGATAACATTAATACAATAGCCTTTTCTAAAGGAAGCCCAGTATTCTAGTTAGCTAGTTATCATTCAATACCTTTGTTTATCTTATCAGCCCTTCATTAAGTTAAATGAGGTGTGCTGCTGATGGAACTGAATAAATCTGTGTGGTGGCTGAGGACGTCAAGGAAACATATACTCACCAGTTCACAAGCTATTAATAACTTTATTGAAAAAAAAGAAATTATTTTAAATTATTTTTTACTGAATTAATGTCTCTTTGTTTTTGGCGCAAATGGTTCAGAACTGCGTGTTTTTTATTAAGTCAGGTCTCCAAATGTCCCCTCCAACAAAGCTAAAACTGGGCACGTGGTCAGCAAAAATGGACATCAAAACTATTCCAAGCAAAACAACATTCTTTAATTCATCTTAACTAAATGACACAAGAAGAAACCGTGTTCATGTGGAGCTGGAGTTTAGGTTGTTTGGTCACATACAGGCCTGTCTGCGGATTACATTATCAGTCCTACACTGGAGAAACGAACAGAAAGCTGGTAGATCGTTTCAACACCATCGAAACACACTGTGTATAAGATTAAAGTGCGAGAGTACACATATGTGTGCGCGCATGACTATACCGAGGCCAGCCTTACATTTAAATGCACCATAGCTCTATAATAATCTCCATAATTACGCACAGGATGCCATTTTCACCCTGTTAACCTTTGGTTTTATATCTTTCTTTAAACGTGTTTGTGTACATCCAGAGAGAAAAGTCTGAAATACAGTTTGGCTAAATTTAGCTGCGTCTACTCCTGATCCGCCAAACTGTTTCTTTACTCAAGACCGGCATCAAATAAACCGCAGTGCGTGCGGACATCAGCCATGCTGTATTACACTCTCCACGGCAGAGGAATCTGTCCATTTCAATTCAGGGCAAAACAAAGTCATTAATTGCTCTTTAGCCAAAGGGGAAGATCACTGGACAAGGGGAGCTGTCTCACTTCTGGTAGCATTGATCAACTGCTAAAAACACAATTTCAGTACATTCCTCACTGCAAAACATAATAATTGTTATTTTTTTGGTTTACTTATTTGTTAAAATTACTATTACAAATCTTGTAACATGTACTATTTCTTATATAATCCTTAGTTACTTAAAGGTAAATCTAGTTCAGATCAGTTCATTTGTTTAAGTCCTACAGACTGAGGAATTTGCCCAAAAAGCTTCACAGCATTCTTAGTGGTTTAGTTGGGTTCTGTTAACTCTTATTCTTCTAATTTATTAATATAATACTCTTTGCAAAATGTTAATTTTACATGTTGCTGTTATTCTCACCATGATGGTTTACCAGTTCAGCCTCTCATCATGCATGCTAATGGAATATGCATTAAGATGCCTCAAAAATAGTTGATTAGTCTTATCTAAGCCATTCATTTGTTACAATCAATTTAATATAAAGGTGTTTAAATTGATGCAAATACATTAGGCAATGATGAGTACTTGATTCAAGTTAACCTAACTAATTCAAGAGCAAGCAGAACATGAAAGAACATACTGCCAGCTCAGTGGAACCCAATTATTGAGCTGTTGGAGTTAACCTTACTGCAGGGGTGTGGATCACTGAAAATTTTAAAGTAACTAGAACTCATATATAAGTTATTTTAGCTTGAACATGTTAAGTAACTTTACCTATTTTTTTCAAAGCAATAAGTTTGCAGTTTGCATATTTTTATTTATGTAAAGTCAACAATTTATGTTTGTATACCCACCCACCAATCATTCACTACTTATGTTTCTAGTGTAATAGGTATATGTCCAAAAATGTCTTAGCATGTCTTTGCTTATTCCCCCTTGGTTAACTGCTATTGGCAGCATTTCATTTCCAACATCTAGACAAAACACATGCAATCTCGTATCAATTTTATATATTGATATGTTGCTTGTTTTTGCAGATTACTCAGCTGAAGATTGAGAACAACCCGTTTGCAAAGGGCTTTCGTGGCAGTGATGATATGGAACTGCATCGCATGTCAAGAATGCAAAGGTACAGAAAGCCAACGTCCTTATAAGTACAGAATCTAACACCGTGAACTTTAATTTGTTAGGTTTACTCAAAGAGTTTTCATAAAAAGCTTGGGTTCACATTTGGGCTCTCCTAAGAGTTTATGTATGGTCTGTACAAATATCAACATGACCATAAATAAGAGCAACTTGAATAAGTCAAACTGTTTTCTATGAACACATCAGATTGTGCAATAGGCTTTTGGTAGGGAGAGTGGGGCACAACCTAACACATACTGGTTTTGCTTAATAATTTTAAAACTATTTGAGCAAGATAAATCATATTTTTATACAATCAACCTGCTACAAATTGAAACGCAGGCTTTGTTTCCAACACCTACTGTTTGTGAACAATTCAGCTAGAAAGGGAGTGAGTGCAAAAGTTATAATTAACTCCATTGTTGGGTTTCATTGTAACAAGTGCAGGGGCTAGTTGAAACAGTCACTAAAACTGGTAAAATGATGCAAAACACAAATAATTCAATACAGTTCTATGTTTGAACCAGAAGAGCTTTCCCACCCAAAGCCATAAAAATATCTGCATCTAAATAAATCTGATCAGTGAAAAGACAGTTAACAAATTTATTTTTACCACACGGTAGAGCAGCAAATATCAGCACAATATAACTGAAATACATTTTGTTTACATTATATCTAAAGTACACTTTTGATCAACCTGTGCCATAAATGGACTGTTTTGAATTTAGGGAGCATAAGCACTAGTCCCATTGTTTCCCTTGGTAGGCTCAGTTGTAACACTGTGTTAAAACTAAACCTGTCATGTGGAGACTGTACTTTAGCCAGGCTAGCTCTCATCGCAAGTTTTTTATATGCTTCAAAATGGTGCTGTATTAGAGCCTCCAAGGGTGATTAAAATAATATAGGTATGAAATACACCTCAGAGATTTTAAAAATATATATTTTTATGGTATCAAAAGTCTTCAGGGTGAATTTTGAGAAATATCCGTCCAATATGCTGTCAAAATCCACAGATGATATTTCTATGAGGGATATGAGCACCTGTTTAACTACATAACATATCTATTTCATCCTGTGCTAAGTTTGTGCCTTACTATCCCTACTAGAATTGGTTTACTGTTCACTATCCTAAGCAGTGAGTTTGAAACTGAGTGTAGCCTTGTTTGTTGCGCTAACTGCTTAGCTGGAGTGAGTACTTTCCCGGTAGATAGAGGTGCCATAAATACACAGGTCTCACTGAAAGGGCATCCCTGACGAGAGGCTTGATTGGCATCACGAGATAGACCAGGCTTTACAGGAAGAGCCAACAATCTAACAAGCTCCCTAATTATCACCAAACGGAGCTGAGCTAATCAATGCACACGCACACCCTGAACAAACAGCCTCTCAGATACAAACCAGAAGTGCTTGTTTTCAGAAAGAAGTTGTCTCTCCTAATGGGAGGGTTGTGATGTAAGTGTAGCTCTTGAAGAAGGGCCAGTCTTTTGGCTGATGGCTTTTATGGCTGATCTGGCTTGGCCTTGAAACCACAGCAACATCTTAGTTTCATGCAAAGCCTCGGCTTTCCATGGATATTCCGAACAATTGTCTGCGGCAGTGCTGCACTTGGTCTTTTGGAGGCAAAGACCACATGGCTTTTCCTCTTATTCGCTCCAGATGACTGCTGTATAACACGCGTCCATACAGTGTGGAAAAACACGTTTTCAAAGCAGAAAATCTGGTCTTATGGCTCGTAGCGGCCAGCAAAGGCGTTGTCCTCTCTAAAAGGAGCAATACTTAAGGGAAAAGAAATGGGACTGGGCTTTCCATGATGTAGTTAACATTGTCTGTCATTACTTTCAGCCAAGCGAAGTGCATACTTACTAATGTCTAACATAAAAAGCTCTAAGGGATAGCTTTCTATTGAGTTTCAAGATAATGATTTGAAGACTTCAAACAGTACCTCAAGCTAGCATATTCAATAATCCAGTCTTCCCATCTTCACTATGGTAAGTCTGTAAATTCTGTCATTAGAGTACAAAAGCCCTGAGTTATCACCACTCCATATGGCACAGTCCCTTTCTGCAAGAGAGGGATGGAAAATGTTAAAAGAGTATCCGTTTCATTTATACATAAAAATTGACTCTTTATCATTTAAATGGCTCTGAAGTTACAAAAAATGTCTCATGAGAACCACTAAGCAGAAGCATCATTGCAAAATAAGCAAATGTGTAAAGAAACACCGTCCTTGTCCTCTTCATCACACATCAGTCAAAGGTCCTGCTACCCTTTCAGTCCTCAAGCACCTCCTTATCTGAAGAAAAGCAGATCTGTTCTTAGTTAGGAATTGGACCAACACCCAAAAGCCAGGTCCCTAGCTCCAAACGCCAAAGAAACAGCAAAGGAAGCACGGAAAAAAAGAGAAGCCTTTATGAGTTTCACAGTTTAACCGGAATAAAACAGATCCTTGTCTTTCACCCACATACTTTACAAATGGCTGAGAGCCTAATATGACTGAGTGGTGCCTATTGGTAGCGGATGTGGTTAGTTACCATTCAAACTGTTCAGAGATCTGGCAGTGAAAGACTGCATGTAAGTGTGTGACGATGCATGGCTAATGGCTCAAGCTAAGGAAATCCTCGTCTGTTCTTGCAGCACTAAAGAATATCCAGTGGTTCCTCGAAGCACAGTGCGTCAGAGAGTGGGCACAAGTCAAAGTCCGTTCAGTGGGGACGTTCAGGGCATGCCTACTCCCAGTGCTATGAGCTCTCAGTACTCCTGTGAGAATGGGGTCACCAGCACCTCCCAGGATCTCCTGCCCCAGTCCAGCTCCTACCCGCTACCCCATGAGCACAGTCAAGACTATCACTGCATAAAGAGAAAAGGTGAGGAGATTGGCATCTATATTTCACATGCATGCTTCAGGCCTATTGGTAGTGGCCAGTACTGCTAGTGCTGCTAGTGTTCATTAAGTGTATACAGTAAATCTGGAAGGACCGAAGGTCTTAGCAGTAAAACCTTTACTAACAAAGCAATAGTTCCAGTCAAGTTACTACCAGTGGTGAACTTTCTGTGTTCTAGGCCTTCAGAGAAGAATTTCTGTGAAATAAGACAATTTTAGTATGATCAACATGCTTGTTGTATTTAAACTTTGCAAGTACTGCAGTGATTTCATGGTTAAATTTTATTGGAAATAATTTATTTGGAAATAAAAGGGTTACATTCTTGAAACACCCAATAGACAATTGTCCAATCTGATTTTTTTTCTCCATGGTATCTAGGTAGATACAGTCAAGCTAGCTCTCCCATTGGTTAGGACTTCAGGAGATAAACCCTTACTAGGAACTAACAGTGGAATCAACCAATGACGTTTTGATTTATACTAGGTGGGACCAATTTCATGAGAAAAAACTGCACTCTAGGACATCCTAGATACGTCACTGACTTTAAGTACTAGTAGTAGTCCAACCAATGGGTTTCGGTAAGTTATTAGAAAAGGAAACAACTGTAGCAGCTCTCTGCCAGGTCTCTACTGAAAGAGTCACTATAAAACCGCAACATAGGTAAAATGTATGTTAATGTCTGTTACAAGCTTAAAATAAAACATATGGAATGTTTTTACTAGGTTCAGATGTCCATTTTGAGTCTAGAATAGCTAAAAAATACTCGCAATGTGAATCACTTTTAGCTTACATGCAAACATACTCTTAGAATCCCATGGGGGCTCTAGCAGAAATTAGCATTATCACAATTAGAATAAATCTAATTTTTGAGCAAGTTTTGACATTTATGGCCCAAACTAAAGGCCTAGCTCTAACAGACACAGTCTGCCACTGTTTTCTATTATGTCAAACCGTGACTTACTTACTACATGACTTACTGTCTTTAGTATTAATAGATCTTTATAGTATAATGTGTATGTATGGCATGCTATTTTTATACCATGCTGACCATAGCAGTCATTCATTTGCCTGTTTTCTCTTCCCTTAGTTGAAGATGACTGCCACACAGGAGATCACTCCTACAAGAAGGCCTACATGGAGAGCTCTTCCAGTGAAGACGACCATTACTACCGTCCTGTCAGCTATTCTCAGAGCCTGGGCCTCACCGGTGCCCCCTATCGGACCGAGTCAGGACAAAGGCAGGCATGCATGTACGCCAGCGCTTCGCAAGCTACCGAGCCAAGCCTGGAAGACATCAGCTGTAACACCTGGGCTGGCGTCTCGCCTTACAGCAGTTGCTCTGTGACCACCATGCAACCAATGGAGCGGTTGCCCTACCAGCACTTCTCTGCCCACTTCACCTCTGGACCACTGGTGTCTAGGCTGAGCGGAGTGGCGGGCCATGCCTCACCGCAGCTAGGCGACGCCCATGCCATGTACCAGGGCTCAATGCCACACCAGACTCTTGGCCGTCAGTGCAGCCCTGGAGCAGGGATCCAGTCGCCAGGTGGCAGCCTGCAGGGGAATGAGTACTTGTACACTCACGGCATACCCCGCACTCTGTCCCCCCACCAGTACCATACTGTTCACAGCGTAAGCATCATGCCTGAATGGAATGAGGGCAGCTAATTGGATTCTCACACAGAAGTATGAAGTACTGTTGCGATGCAAATTAATTGTATATTTATATTTCTAAGCTCTCCACCGCTCTGTGCAATCGTGTGGCATCGTCGATGTAGACACAAATGTTTTATGCATCAGCTCGGAAGGAAGACAAACTGGCTAAAACAGCAATGAATGTCTCAGCAGTGCAGCATGTTTGCTGTACTAGAAGGCAGGAAAAAACAACAGAGATTTTTTCTCATAGTATGGGCAGTAATGAATGAAAGTTTATACTGTATTCTGTAAATCAGGGCTGAAGACAAATGAAATAAATAATATTCCTTTTTAATCGAAGGACACACATCGATCTGCCCACAGTTTTACTGACAAAGTTTTCTTAAAAAGTCCAGTTTTATAGTTTTTTTCATCTTGATGTTTGTGTTATGCTCTGTTTTTGTACTCTGAAATACTGGAGGAAATTATGTAGAAGTCTTTAAAACGTAGTGTTTATAAGAAAACTTTTTGAGTTGACTTTCCACCAGTTCTACTATTTGTACTACATTACAACTCAAAGCTGAAAGAAAAGCCTTTTAAATCAATGAGCACATGTCAAATTCACAACCTCTGTTTTGATGTACAACTTTTAGTTGGCGCAGATGAATGCACTTAGTAGTTTTACACATTCAGGGATATGGTACATGTTTGCACGGATCTTTGATCACCCGATCAAATGTATCATGTGTCTTTCATTAAATCTATTAGGCTAAAGTGACCGTTACAAAAAAACAAAAACAGATTCAACTTCTCACAATATCTAGAGCATGTCCGCTAGGCATAAACATATGATTTGTACCACTAGTGATACCCCACAATCTCCATTTAATGGAGTAAATCAGTACTTTTTAATAGCACTATTATAGCTAATGCAAGCTGTCATGGACTAGTTAGGCCATTGTAAGTCATACGATTATAAGTAATAGCTTGCAGAACTACATGGAGCTGTATGCACCCAACACTCAACTCATATGAATGTCATTTATATGAGGACCATAGAACAATCTAAATAAACTACACAGAAGAAGAGCTTCAAAATAATCTTCACTTTATTCAGGAATATGGCTGGATATAGACAAATGTCCATTTTGGAAGATGCTCATTGTAACCACATCTCTCCCTGTTAATAGTATTTATTTTCCCTGTATGATAAAACCTCTGATTGTTTTATCTGAAATATTTGTTAGTTTGTCTTTTCTGTTACTATGTAATTTTGTTTTGCTTAGATATCTATTCTTTTCTTCAGGAAAACAAAACAAGCTGGTTTAAGAAATCTGAACACCTATTGATAACTGTCAGAAGAACAAAAGATACAGTATAACATGAACTACTTGGATGTAAATAAAATACAATTGTACATAGAAAACAGAACAAATAAATCTAAAAGATCTTCCTTGAAACTGATTTTATTGAAGTTTATTTTGTACTGTTTATTTATGCAAAATATGTTTATGCTATGATTCAGGGGAACATCCCCTCTGAACTCCACTCCCAAATTCCTCTATTCCATTTTCTTTTAACATCCGAATATAACAACAATCAATAACACCAGCAAAACAAGTAGCTTCTTCAAGCTAATTAGAATTTTTCTGGAGGGACTTTTCAACCATGCTGTCTTACAACACATCCATTCGCTAACAACAGGCTTGTTGCTTTTTGGACCATGTTGACAAGCTCACCATAACCCTCTACTTCGATCTCTGCCTTCTCAAGATACTGGTTTGGTTTAGAAATTTCACACTCAGTTTGTTTCCAGCCTATTAAGTCTACATTCCCATCCACATTTGGCCCAAAATTTTAGATGTCCCCGATGTTCTTTTTATCAGATCACGTCTGATGTCACAAGACTACTACAAATGTGATTTGAGCTGCAAATAAGAAAAGGGTTGCAATAACTAAAATCTCCATCCTAAATACTTTGCTCTGATAGTCATTCATTTCTTCAGCACAACATAAAGGGGAGGCTCTTGTTACTGGATACTATAATACTGTCTGTCTAACCTATGAATAACTCTATATAATCTTGCGGTTGAATGGAAAATCCCCTGGATTACAGGGGTGCTTGTCTAAACTCTACTGCAACACAGCTATGCTTCAGGGAACATTTCTCTCATCCAAAACGTCTTAAAACCACTTAACTTCGAGCCAAATAGAGTTAAACTTTGATCTCAAGACACACAGTCACAGTATTAGACTACAAGTAACTAACAGACTCAAAAGAAGTGAACCACAAACATGGAAATTCTGGGCTGATATTTAACACTTCATTGTGGTTGGTCCCGATATCAGTAACAGATCATTGTAATGAATGATTAAATATTCATAATTTAATTAATTTTAAGTTTACCTTATGCAGACACTCTTCTGTAAAGCCACTCACAATAACAGGTGAACATTATATAAGGAGTTTGTGATGAAGGGTACTATGGTCATTTATTACGCACTGAACCGTGTTCATTTGTTGCGCTGTCCTCTTATGATCAGATCACCAAAGACATATGTTAATGCCAGGTGTTACTATTGTGTCATTCTCTTTTTGGTGTAAAAATAGTGTTTTTCATATGTACATCGGTGTGCTTGCCTGGACGCAGAACTAAATCCTGGTCTGGGACAGTGGTGTTATCCACTATGCTATACAGTCATATGAGCTTTAATTATCAGTTGTAAAAGATGGCATGTTACTTCTCATTCAGGTGCGTAAAATTATCGGTTGTAGTAAGAGGTGGTGTGTCACTATATAGTCATGTAAGCTAAAATTATCAGTTGTCGTAAGATATCAATGAGTATTAGTATCAGACCGATACTCATTGATGCTGGATCGGAAAAAAATACTGGATCAGATATTTGTGGGAAAAAAGAATGAATCTGATCCAATCCTCTAACAAAACTAGCCTTCACACATCCACACTGTTTGATGTCATGCTGTTGTATGTTGTAAGTAATTTCAGCATGATAATCTACTTTTAGGTGCTTGTCTCAAGTGAAGTGTTTCAGTTAAAAATATCTCAATTCCAAAGCTTAGTGGTTTTAAAAAGACATCAGATTAGTATACTTATTTATTAGTAATACTTATGGTTTCAACAGTGGGATCTCTAATTGTAATTATCAGTAACTCCAAGAGTTAACCAATAATAATAATTATGTTTTTCCATTTACCACTGAAAAATATATTATTATACATCCCTACAAATGTGGATTTGGTAACTATGGTTCTGGTGGTATCATCTAAGGTGAAGATATGATGATTATGAATATGGGGGAAGTGATGAGTAGGACAGATTTTGAGCACAAATATGAGACTGCACTAGATGTTGCAAGGCCTGCTGAGAGATATAAAGCTGAAGCGATTAGGGCATGTTCATTCCAGTTTTTCTTGAGGAACGAGAAAATGTTAACCTACTTACATTAAGGTACTTATTGTCCACAGCAAATATTTTAGATTTGAAAAATATATATATTTATTTTTTTTTAATTAAAGGATTATATCATTAGATTATATTTTTTTAAATTAAATGTACAAATTTAAAAGTTTAACGTCACAAGAATGTAATTTGCCAAGTACTGCAGTTACAATGCAAACAGAATGTAAGATCAAACCAAAAGAAAGCCTATTCACACGCAATATCAAGCAATGCCCCAGAACATTCCAGGTAGCCTTTCCCAAGGAATCCAGAGTCTACATTTTCGACTACACTTAAAGAAAGTGCAGAATGACAGCCAGCAGTGAAAGCAGAACCACAGAAAGACCGTTTCTTAGTTCCATCCCCCCGTCTTGCTTTTTTTTCCCTTCCCTCCCTCCTTTTTTCCCTTTCTCTGGGCAGGTCTTCGGCCAAACATGGTGACCTTCTCTGCAGATGCCTTTGATCTGATAGATGGGGCCTCTTTGGACTACCTGCTCCTACGCGGCCAGTCTTATCCATCCCTGAAATCCTCAACATCCCCCCACCGCAGGCCAGAGAAATTCATTAACCTTGCAAACCCCCAGCCCCAGTCTTACTGCTTAACGTCTGATTTATCGCCATGCCCACCCCACACATCCTTCGATCAGACAAACATGTATGCGTAAGCCAAGATAGATTATTCCATGGACTTTTTTTAAGAAGATGTCTTAAGCCAGGGTCAATTTTCAAAGCAATTCTTCCAAATCATAGGTTCAACTGATTGTCACAGTTTGAGTGGTCAGAGTTAGCATTATTAATAATGAATAGATTCTACAGTGGTCATTGATAGGCCTGGTTAAAGACAACAAGATTGTCAGACCACTGAAATGAAACAAATTAAATAAATTGGGAGTTGGGGGGGATACAGAATATGTACATTAATCAGAAAACTAGCAAGCTGGAAATCTCAGATGTTGATAAAGGGAATTTTACTGTAGTTGGCTTTTGGCACGTACGTTTTTGTGGTAACAATTCCAGTCATATTTTACAGCAATGATTCCTCATTAATACAAATATTGTACCGTGCGGAATTTTTTATTTTGGCCAGGCTTTAAGCTTTTTCTGTAGCACTCAAGGTATCACACGGCCAGCAAACTGAAGATTTTCAAAAGAGATACAGAGTCAGGTTGGAGTAATGATAAGCCATGGCCCTTCTCAACCCAGAATCTGAAACGAAAACAAATCATCACTGGGGTGCCTTGAATGAGCAAAGAGAAACAGACAGAACAAGAGCATTCCAAAGTTGAGAGAAAAAAAACGAGAAAGGGGGGGATTACTTTATTAAGATGTACTGAAACGCGGCCAGCCAGTGATGGATGACTAGTTCAAAAAGGAAGAGTCCTGGAGACAAATCTATCTGCCGCGGGAGTCGCACAGCTGCTTTGAAAAGTTTGTTCAGGCCGAACTGTAGCAGTCAAAGCCCAATCATTAGAAATGCAGAATGTCTCGCTCCCAGACAGCTCTGGCCTCTCAGATGGCTGTATCAGACATGGCTTGAGGTATGAGCAGGCTAGCAGCCTGGAGACAAAGCCTGCTTACTTGGCATGCTGTTTTGCTTACCTGCTACCATGGTTACATACTAACTCATAAATCACTAAAATGAGTAAGTTAAGAAAATTTAAGTACTAATCTATGCCCAGTATTTGTCAAGTTGGATTTTTTACCAACCACATCGTGAAAGTAGGGGATGGAGAAAATTCTCACCACCATTCACTCAGACCACGCAAGTGAGCGATTAAGGAGCACTGCATTAGGCCAAGCTCCATCAAACAGTATGTTTTCTGGTTCATGTAAAGATGTCTAGCGTATCAACAGGGAC